CTGTGGCCTGCCTGTACTCCAAGCAGGATTCAGGGTTTTGGGGTTTAGAGTTCTGGGATGTCAGGGCTTCAGTGGTGTTTTTTGACGCGTGCATGGGGTTGGGCAGTACAGTTTTTTTGTGGCTGCTGGCTAAATGCGCTTGCAGATAGCCCAAGCCTGTTTTCCTGTAGACATACAGGTCCAATGCACGACGTCTCTTTTTTTCTCAGCTAGCGACACTCAGCTTTGTCGGCCGAAAAATGCTGTTGGGGTTTGTCGTTTTGCGGCTTGAAAGTCCGCTCTCAAACTTTGATTTGCAAGTCATTGTATCCTCTAATCACAAAATGCTCCATCGCACGAACGCCATAGACCCAAGAAGCATAGAGCAATATCTCAGATGCCGGGCCCCGTGCGTCGGCCAGACATCGTATAGATCACATTACATTTGCGCTTTTGGTGGCAGAATCCAGACGCTACACAATGTGACATCTTGTGTGCCGCCATAATCTAGCAGCCCCAGCTCCCGCGCAAAGGCCAACATGCAGGCTTTGTCAGCCCAGCCGAGAAATTGAAGCCCTGTGGCGAACCGTTTCTTTGTGCCCCAGGCTTTCAAGCTCTAATCCGAGCACTGCTTCATGGACAAGGCCAAGCTTTGCACTTGAGGCATGACCATCATAGCATCCTCGAGTGCTGGAGAGAGGCTTTGCAACTGCATAGCTACTGCAGCCCCGGAATCCATGTAGAAGCGCTAATGCTACTACAGCGTGCGCGACTGCAGCAACCTAGTTGAGCCACGAAATCAGAAGGAGTCGAATTGATCTTGCAGAATCCGCGCTTTGGCATGCCTATTTGCGTCACAGCAGAGGGTGCAGGAAATTAGCAAAGACTCTTGCAGCGTGCTGGCAGAGGTGCGCCGTAAAGTGTGCAAATATTGTTGAAGAACCGGCTCGCATCTATGTAGGTGCTGCATTTGGTTTACCTCCAGAGCTGCATTCTTTTGCAGGGAAAGGTGGGCGGAGGTCAGGGTTGATGGTCTCGGTGGAATGGTTGGCATACTCAAAGGTGCCCCGCCCCGCCCAGAATTTGCATGAATTCGCAAGCCCGAACCCTGCCCAGCTGCACCTTTAAACCCTAAACCGCCCATCACGTTTTGCGTTCCAGAAGATTGTGCCCTAATGTTCCACTGGTGTTACTGTAGAAGCCATTTAAGCTGGAACAAAAGCCCGGGTCTCTACGTTTTACATAAAACTGACAGTTTATCCGCATGTGCAGATCATGGGGAAACGATACGAGCAAATAAGCAATAACGTAGTACCTTATGTTATTTGATGGGAAAACGATAAGAGTAAAAAAGGCTTGACAACATGTTAAGTTGGGCAGAAGGCTGGCGTTTAGGAGTGTGGCGCCGCTCATGTTGAAGGGGTTTTGCCAGCTTTTTTATGCTATTTCAGGCCATTGTTTGAAGACCATGTTCTGTCGATGGGGCTCTAGAGGAATCCAGACCATCCCTTTCAAAGCAATCCCCAGAGCCTTCGACGGCCATTTTCAAATATCTGGGGCCTAATCCCCTCCCCCTAAAATTAACCCCCCCCACTCCCCCAAATATTGAATGCTCCCAATCTATTATTGCATACCACACTGGGGAGTCTTTAACATTCAGGGAGGGGTGGGGGGTTTAATGTTAATGTTAGGGGGATTACCCTGGCAAGCCACGCGACAATGTGGCCATCCAGGTCGTCCTGCGCTTAGCACACAGAAGCCTGCAGCCTCAGACCTGTAACGTGCGCTAGGATCATGACTCCTAGAGCAGCCGGTGTTCAGGCATCACTGGTAATCCTATGCATGTGCTTGGTAAATTGTTATGCCAAGATGAGACTTCTTATTGTACTTTCTGATGCTACGAGTGCAAGACCTCGTTTCAGCGTTCATTTCCCTACAGACTTGTTGTCCCAGGATGTACCCAGAAGGAGTAGGACGAAACTTGAAGGGACAACTTGGTCTTCGCAACTTGTGATCTGGCAACGCAGGCATTGTGATCATCTTTGCTCATTTGGCTTTTGTCAAAGAAGCTCCGGCAAATGCTTTAGGACAAGCATTTTCCCTGATGTTTCTTGCATTTGCTTTTGGGAAGAGTTGGTAGGTTGTGGGGTTCGTTTTAAGTACAGCCCCCAATATTTAAGGTACCCCAGATATGGGCCATAATTTTGACTGCCATCTCAGCCAAGCGTATGACTGTGTTAATTCAGGAGGGACACAAGCAGATATGGGAACCCCTATATACTATAATCTATACCACAATATACTACAATATGCCACAAGATATGATATACCCTCATATATTATAATATTCCATGATATCCTCCAAGGCTCCCGCCCGCGCCTGCCTGATGATGATTAGGATGACGAAGATGATGGTGATGATAAGGATGATGATGGTCTAGTTTATGTTAACTAAGGCCGCCCATGGTTCAGAATGTCTCGACTTTGTCACGCCCAAATCTCAGCTGGGCGCAGGATGCGCCTCTTTTGCGGCCCCCATGCCATGCAGTCCTTCATTATCCTCATTTTGAGGGAGGCATTGGAGCTTAATTCAAGAACCTCTTAAACCAGGGGACCGTGGAATCTCCTTGTAATCCCTACATCTTCCTAGGGTCCGTATTTGAAGGAACCCTATGCCTAAGAAGCCTACCTAGGGACCCGAACGAGGAGGAGTAATGTAGAAGATTGCATTAGAGGCAGATGTTGCAAACTAAATTGAGTCTGCTTGAGCCTTTCAAGCAAGGCAACTGTTTAGATGATGATAATATGCAGATCCTCTGCAGCCCGGCAATGCCTGTTCACCGCTACAAGACTTAGACTCATGGAAGCACTTGCAAGAAGACATATGCAGCCTGTAAGATGGCAAAAAAGCTCCTGTCCGAGTCTGATAAGTCCGAATTTGGAATACGGCTTCAGAGCCCAAACCAAGCCTGCCTCACCTCGGCCTGCAGTGAGGCTGAACCAGGATGGATGTTCAGAGAGCGCGTGCAGGCTTAACGCAGGGGTTTGTCAGCCCGCCCTCAGACTTTGATTTGCAAGTCACTGTATCCTCAAATCACAAAATGCTCAATCGTAGAAGTGCCCCGAACGCGATAGACCCAAGAAGCATAGAGCCATAACTCAGATGCCGCTGGACATCGTATACATTGTTTTTGATGGCTTTTCGTGGCAAGAGTCCAGATGCTACACAAAATGACATCGTGTATGCCACCATAATCTAGTAGCAGCCTTGCGAACCTGCGGGCATGGGCTTCTTCAGCCCGGTCGCAAAATTGAAGCCCTGTAGTCCTTGTAGCATCCTGTAGCGAACCGTTTCTTTGCGGCCAGGGGCTTTCAGGCTCTCATCCAAGCGCTGCTTCATGGACAAGGCCAAGCTTTGCACTGGAGGCATGATTTTTGAGCATGCCCACAGCAAAAGGGCCAATTGGAACGCGTGTGTTGAGCGAAGTCATATATATATATATATGTATTCAGTTCGAGGGATCTTCAGCAGCATAGTATTTCATCATTGCGGTCTGCATGACGTAAGTTTTTGGCGCGTTGAGCGGAGAGCCAACACAATGTACAGCTGCAGCAGCCTTGTTGAGCCGCGAAATCCGAATGACGCAAATGGATCTTGCAGAATCTGCAATTTGGTTTCTTGCGTCAGGGCACAGGCTGCAGAAAAGCAGCAACCATCATTGCATCAAGCTCGCAGAAGTGCGCCATAAAGTGCAGAAAATATTATTGAAGAACGGACTCGGATCTAAGTATGTACGTACTGTATGTGCTTTAATTTTTGTCCTGCATTCTTCGGCTACCTTGTCGGCGAATTACGCTGTTCTTTGCTGATTCTCGAGGCCTGTGGAGATGGGTAAAGCTGGGCAACACACCCGCCACAGCCTTGGAAGGACTCATGGGGTATTGTCTGCTGTTGTCACGAGAGCTATGGTCTAAACTTCTGAAAGGGTTTATATAGGGGATTATACGAAGGAATCTATAGGGGCTACTAAGGGGGATACTAGGAATTTAGACAATGGCTCATGGGATGTCCTGGAACGTACAGCTCTCCTCTTTGGAGGTTTGGACTGATCCATGCAGAGCTGCGCCAGCATGAGCTCCCGTCAAATTTCCCCACTTGTGGTTAGCATGGAATTGGGGGTGCATCCTCATACTAGTCTCTATAGTAATACAGCCTCTAGAACTCACTCTGCAGTATTATGGTCGTGATACCCTCAATTCCCCGCCAACCACAAGTAAGTTGCCTTCTGTGTGGCAGGTGTGCGGGAGGAGGACTCTGCTGCCAGGACTCTCAACGATCCGACAAAAAAATTTCGTGCATTGTGTTGTTGCTCTAAAATCTTTGAACTCTCCCTGGAACTGTTACTGTTGCCAGAGTTTGCCGTAGTGTTTTCGCCAACTGCTTTATCATGGGGCGAGCCCCTTTTGGAGGGGGCTTCTGGACGGAGACCCACACCCTGACCTGGGGAAGTGCCACTATTGGTTGCACTGTTAGTGCTCATGTACATGATGGTACTTTTTGGCTGCTAGTGCGAGTGGAAGAAGCACTACTTGTGGGAGTGGTGGTGGTAGTACTTCTTACTCTTAGTAGTAGTACTTCTACTGGTAGTAGCAGTAGCAGTAGTAGTAGAAGAAGCAGTGGTTCTTATTATGAGTAATACTTCTTAGTAGTAGTTATTATTGTTGATAGTAGTGGTAGCAGTGGGGACTGACACATTTCGTGTCCAGCTGGAGCTGCGCATCATGCTTTCAGTATACCAATGCTGCAACTTGCAGTAGTTTACCGCCGCACTCTCTTAGGTAAGATACTTAAAGCACCCCTCACTACATGGTTCAGATTCATCAGTGTGACTGACCGACTACTTCCGCTCCGAATTGACGCCATGCTCCCTGTCACTGTTCACATCTACCGTGGGTCCACCACTGCAGCGGTGGGCTGTGAGGAGGCTGTTGGCTTACATGCCGGTGTGGAAGTCCATGGCATGGAGTACAGCTATGCTTACGCTCCTCACGGCACAGGTGTTTTTAGCTGTCTTCCGAAGGGATGCGAGGCCCATGTATACAAATTCTCGTTCGACATGGGTGCCACAGCAAAGTCGGTTCTGGACGTTGACGAGATCCTTGAAAGCATGAAGGAGCCAAAGTTGCAAACAATAAAGTGCAGACCCCTTACAGTTGTGGTTGCCCTGCATGCGCTCTTTTCAGGGTTTTGCATCAACAGCATAAACCAACACCACGCAGCATCACATCCTTTGTTGGTACGGCTGTGGAATTGGCAGGATCCTCACATCAACCACGTTCGATTCCCTACTCGTCCCCGCCATCGGATTACAATGTCTGTGTTTGACACCATTGTCACTATAGTTTCCAGCCTCACATGCATCGAAACTTAAAATTTTTGAAGCGTGAACCTTCAGGAGTCATGGCGGGGCATCGAGTATGACCGCCGCCGCCGCAACTGTTGCTTGTTTTGCAAGACATTGCTGGAGAAGCTGGGCGTGGGTCCCGTTCCCGACCTCGCAGCTTGGGATGACATGGTGAATGTATGAGGTAAGTGCTGCGCTTTTTTTGGCTTGGAAAGCTGAGCCTACAGGCCTAGACCAAGACTTCTTGCATTGCAACTGTTATCGCCGTTGGCGCCTGCACGTGCAGTGCTGGACACGACGATTTCACAACTGCGGAAAGCCAGCCCAACACAGCCTGTTGTGACTTCTGCCAGAAGGTAAGCAACCTAGCTGATGCAGCGCTGCTCGCCGAAGGCCGCGCTGCAAAAGTATCCAATCAACAGACATGTCAACATATGTCAACTAAAGTGATTACAACACTTTGCTTGTACACAGTTGCTTTTTGGACTCTTACCATTGGCACGACTATGTGAATTTTGGCGGTTGTCGCAATGGTTGCTGCCCTATTGACCCTTGCCCCACTCACGCAATCAATGAGTTGGTAGCACGTCACGGCGACTAAGGGTTGATTGAGGTTCTCGCATGAGGTGCTTCGTAGCCAGAGTACAGCACGGGGCATCGTGGTCGGCCCGATGTACTCTTTTGGATATCAGGCATTTTTAGTCATGGCTTGGAAGGCATGAAATGACATCCGTTTAGGGGTAAGCTTTTGCGAGACATTGCTTTTTTTGTTGGGTCACGGCTGCGTAAAACGGTATTCGTCCCTTACGGGCCAGGCTTTGGAATAATGTGGTTCCTTTTAGGGGCTTGGGTTGGGGAGCAGGTTGTCTCCAGTTGTTGTTTGGGTAGTGTTGGCTAGAATGCGACCCGAGCTGACTTGAGCCGTGCTTCAGGCGAGGACGCTTCAAGTTCCCCAAATAGCTCCAGCTTGCCCACCGTCATTGTGCGGTCGGACAGGCTTCTTAGCTGTTAGCTGTTAGCATGTGAGGTCATGCTTTAGGTCATGCCTATCCGCATGCGTAGAGCTGCAGTGAAGCTCATACTCGTGTGTGGGTCCATATTGTGGAGCCGTATTGCCTCGCTTTGCAAACGGTGTGATAGAAGAATCTATGGATTCGGGTTTTGTGCAACCCCGAACTATGCAGAAGTGCTGTGTGTGCGTAGCAGTGTGGCTTGCGATCCATTTTCATGGAAGGCTTCACAGAAACCCTAGTTGTTGATGCAAAAGCCTGAATTGCTTGCAAGCACTGGTGCAGTACAATTGCTAGACAAGCCTGTGCCAAGCTTTTGCATCCGCCCCAAGAAGAGAAACCGACTAAGGACATTGACACCGCAGAGTCTGACACCGCAGAGTCCGCAGAGCGTCCATCCCGAGGCCGTGGGGGGTGGGTGCGTGATTTGGTGGGACTCTTGTAGTAGCAGCAGAATATCCTACCCATGATCGTGCTGATTATGGCCGTCCTTTGTCGACATTGGCAGCAATGTGCAGCAGCAGCCGCCGCAGGTTCAGCAGCAGCATAGTAGCAGTAGGTCCGTCAAAGACGTCTACCGCTCTGGATTTGATCCTTGTTAGCTTGGAGGACGGAAACAATGCAAGTGCGAGCTTGGCCCGACGAAGCCTCGCAACCTAAAACTCAACAACGGCCACCTCAGGAAAGGGAAGAAAACGTTTGAGAGCTGTTGCGCTGTTCGCATCTCCGCCCGCGGTGTCCATGATGGACTACAAGATTTTCCGGTGTAAATGTCCAGGGAAGGGTGCACCACCATGCACGGCCCGCGTCGCGCCCCAGCTGACTTGCGAGATCCATTGCCACAGTCACCAAGTTGCACGCCAAATTGCGTCCAACACCTTTCACTGCAGCCGGCAACAGAAGCAACATGGAAACTCGACACTGCTTGTATTCCGAAACCCAAACAATCTCAAAGGCAGGAGTTTCGCTGGGAAAGCTGCAAGTGATGCTTTAATGTACCCTGTCTTGAGCGCCCAGTTTTAGCTACGATTAGTTATCTACCATGTGTGCCCACAGGTACTCAGGTGGCCATGAACGTATACCTATGCCCTCTGCCAAACATGAAATCCAAATGTTGACCAGGTTCGTCCAGTGCTGTTTGGCGTGTTGCATGTCGTCCCCTTGATGGAAATGTTCAGGGGCGTGCTTGAAGAGGGATCAGCGTTGCGGGTAATAAATTCGCATCATAGTTTGGTGGCAATGGCCTGCGGATGGAAGATTTGACCTGGAAGCTGAGGGCTGCTTCGATTGCATTGCCTTCCTTTCGCGAGCAACTCCGCTTATTTGAAGTGCGTGCTGCTTCCGGCATTGAACGATGTTTCTCTGGTGAGCGTCCCGCATTCTTGCTTCCCTCTCCTCAAGGAGGAATATACATATGAAATTCTGATATGATTTTATTTTTTCTCTTTGGCTGTATGCGCGTTTAATCGGCGGAATATATAGACTCGGGATGGAGATTTCAAATCTTTCAGAATTTGTAGGTTGGTTGTGTCTATCTACGGGTATTTATACGCTCTCCCGAGCGGCCGCATAAGAACTAGGTTAGGAGAGATAAATGAAATAGAAAGCTTGGAACGGAGACTTTGGACCGAGTGAGTGAGTTGATGATATTCTCTCGTAAGATAAGTAATTACTATAAGGAATTTCATGAAATATTTTGGGAATGAGTTTCCTAGGGAAGTAGAACCACGTCACGATTTAGATTTCGAATTGAATAACCTCATATATTCGTCGTAGAGGATTCTGCATATAGATACTAATAGATGCGCATAAAATAAATGATAGAAATAAATCGAGAAAAATCGTTAGATTCTGGGACGTCTTTCCGAAATCTTTGGGTTCGAATCTGTAATCGCGCCCCTTCAGAAATACCTCGGGATGGGCACTTAGTTCTTGGTAGCCCGTAAGTTTAAAATGCTAATGATTATGATGTTTCGGGATATCAAATTATAAGGACGCAAAATTTGGAATTCTACGTATTTCTTTCTTCCGTATTAGCTCGCTTGTCGTTACGAAATTATTCTAACGATGATATTCTGCTGCTATAAAAAAATAGATCTATTCTAATATGATTTATAAAAGAGATTAATAATTAAATTTACGAAGAAATCATTATTTTCTCTTACTTCGATAATTCTTTGGATATTTCTATAAATTAATTTATTGAAGGTATTGGATTGGATATTTTTAGGAAATATAAATATTTAGATTTTAGAAAATATATATTATAAATATATGAGATTGAATATCTCTTATATAGATATTATAAATTGAAGATTCTTGATAGAATATACGATCGCTATAAAATTTATGAAATATTCGTCATTTATATATTAATTATATATGGTATAAATAATTTTGATCTGAGATTTCGAAGAAATCTTTATTTATTTCTTCCCCCCTTTCCGATAGTAATAAATTCTATATTAGCATTTATTAAAAAGAGTATTATTTTCTTTAGATATAATTTCTTGGAGAAAACTAGAGATTCTATAAATATTAATTTCTAGGTTAGAATTCTTTATAAAAAAAAAAATAATTTCTCATTTTATTTGATTTCTTTTTATTTGAAAATGAATTTGTTAGGATATTCTGATGATGATTTTAATATTATTCTTGGCATATAGGGATAAATTTCTTAGGAATTCTTGGCATTTTATAAATTACGATTTATATATTAGAATTTATTGAAATTAGAATTATTTTCTATATTTTTAAATTTCAGAAATTGGCGAATTCTGATTCTTTTATGAGTATATTATATTATTATATTGGAAATAGAGCTTTGAAATTCTCATTTTTAGAAAAGATTAGATTGTTTATGATATAAGCTTGCCCTTTCAAATTCTCTTTTCATAGCTAAGATAATCGCCTTCATCTTTTAATTCCTCTTTCTTGATATAGCTATTATTTCGTTTTTATTTTTCAAATTCTCTATTTCTATAATTAGACTCTTTCGTAATTAATGAAATATATATATGGTCTTTTCTCCTTCCCCCTCCCCCTCCCTTCCCCGCGCATCCCCCTCTCCCCCTCCTCCCTCCCCCAACCCTCTCTACTCCCCAAATTTTTCTTTGTTTCAAAATCATAGGCTGCGCACTAGATTTGAATGATTTT